AGAGAAGAGAAGAGAAGAGAAGAGAAGAGAAGAGAAGAGAAGAGAAGAGAAGAGAAGAGAAGAGAAGAGAAGAGAAGAGAAGAGAAGAGAAGAGAAGAGAGAAAGGCGACACAGCAGACAGTAGCAGAGGCAGCAGCGGCTGGTGATTGATATCAGAGATCTGGCACTGCCACCTGATCCAGCCAGCCTCCCTCCAGCATCACTGAACTCACTGAACTCACTGAGCCAAGATGGCTGCCTCACTGCACTGCACCCAATGAACCCCACAGCAGCCCAATGTATACAGTATAGCACGTACAGTTCCCAGAGGGATTAATTTTAAGAGACTGTACAAGAGGAAAGAGTGCAGAAAGGACAGGTGTGCTGTTCCTTATTGCAGCTCAGTGTCTCATAAGAGACTGGTGAGATGCAGACAGGTTGCGTGAAAAGCCTAATGTGAAACTGCACAAGGACGAGTATGTACAACATCCCCTTGATTCTATCAACAAAGAATTATTGATCCTGACCACTTCATAGCACGTCTGTAACAAGACACACTCCACTTTGACATAGTTTAGAGATCAGTAGCTTTGAGGAAAGCCACTTCACTGGGGACAGATAAATGGATTTTCATAAAGATACACATTGAATTGCAGCTACTTCCTGGGTTCCGTATTATGTCATTTCCAAACAAACGATGGAAAGATACAGGCAACGTGAGCAGCATGAGCAGAGCCAAAGATACAAATGAAGTTATGAAGAACAAACATTTTTGTGAATGTGTAGGATGCTGCAATGTAATTTAATTGCTGCAATGTAATTTAATTCCTTTTATAATATAATATCATAACCAATACACAATCGAGACCATATGTCCGAGCCTGTAGCCTCGTTTGACCTCTTGATTTTTCCCTCCATTATGCAGTCAAAGAAATCAATAATTTCCACTACAAAATTATTGAACTCAGAGAGGAAGAACAAAGAGAAGTGTTCCTTCCTGTGGTGATGATTCATATATTATTAAGATGACTGCATTCGAGAAAACATGGATGTGTATTTGTAGTATAATTTCTAGTTTCTTACAGCTTATGGGAATAGAAGTGATATGCAAAGAGGTATTTGAACTGAACTAGCCTGATGCCCTTTTTATATTTTTAATTCCTAGCAGAAATACAAGATTTATACTTTTAAATGAAGCTGAGTGAAATTTAAAGAAGGAAACTTATTGTTTGCAAAAACAGCAGCATATATTTGCAGTATATTGTGTGTCCCTTCTGACTTCAACAGTAAGTTTTCATAGCATTTTCTTTAAACATTTTTTCTAAATGCATCTATATTCTTTAAGTTTCATGTAAAAATAAATCTAAGTTGTTTGAAAAAAAAAACCCTGTATCTCTCCTCTATCTCTTGGGAGATAAATAATGATCAAACAAGTCTGCAAGAAGCCTAACTCTACTTTGATATAGTTTTGAGATTATTAGCTTTACAGAAGAGCACTTCACATGGGACAAAGTGTCAAAGAAAAGACAATGCTTTTCACCCTGTCCTCTCTCCTCCAGTGTTTCTCCTCCCTCCTAGCCATCTGTTGCGCTGACTGCTGTGTGGGTTGATGCTGATGGAGGTAACATTATCCACAACTACTGTGTGACCTCTGTGGCCTCATATAGGTTGTCAGAAAGTAAAGTCCCAGCTTTGGCAGAAAAGAAGACAGGTATACTTCAAGATTTAGATATTAAAGCTAAACTAAAACAGCTCTGTTAGGCCTTTAAATGTTGATTGTTACCCACAGATAATCAACACAATACAGTCCTTCCAAGGTTACACTTGCACCTATTTTCAGAAATTAATAATTTATTTAAATATTTTTAAAATTTATAGTTGTTTTAATTCCATAATGATTTTGGTTTACTTCTCCATCTGTTCCTTTTATGACGCATTGTGTGGCAGCTTACGGGATTAATCCACTGTTTTTTTTACTTCCATTGATAAAGACATAATGCAGCCAAATGCACTCCCCACTCTGATTCAATGAAAGGAGGAAGGAAATTATCATTGTGGTAGTGAGCGAGTAAGCATTCAAAGGCTCGGTCATCTAAGGACATGGTGCACTCTGTTGTTGTAGAGGTAAAGCTCTTGATGCTTATCTCTGGGTTGCAAGATTACAAAGATAATTCATCTTAACTTTGCGTAAGTTTATGCTTTTATTACATTTACATTTCATTACGCTTTATTTTATGCAATTTCTTGTGCATTTCTTTCATGTCTTATGGATCTTTTACTCAGTGTTTATGAAACACTTTGTATTTCAAATTGGTCTCATTGTTTGAAGTAGAAAGGCAATACGGAAAGTAAGGATGCATCCTGAAGCTCTGATATAGTTACAGTACAGATTAAAAAGGTTGACTGAGGTTGGTGCAGTTGGGCATACATATACAGATATAAGCTACAGAAATAAGTGTATACAGACACCAACTTGTCAAATAAACTCACAGGTACACATAGTCCCTTCGAAGTCCATGAGCAAGAAGTCATGACCGTCACTGATATTTTGAAGGGTAAATGCTTTCTCCTAATCATTTCTAATTTATAAGCAGAGGAAAGAGTAGCATAAAACAATAAATAAAAATCAGACATTTCTTATCATAGTTATCTTTTAGCTAATCTGGTTAAATTAAAAGAAGACAAAACTGTCCGTTTTATTTATCCAATGGACATACATATCTACAACTTTAGAACAGTTATATCATCAGCAAACGTACAAACAACAGTCTTTATAAAGCTCTTTTATATCTGAACCAAGCCTGAGCTATCAGCAATCAGACCAAATAAAACAACAACCAAAATATTCAACCAACCTGCTTATTATTAAAAGAAAATTTCTGTACACAAGCAGAGTTTTTCCAACTAATTAACATCAAGTTGTTTTTGATAGCAAGATTTTACCATATTGGAACTACATACTTAACAGCTGCTGTAGACCTGAACTGAGAGAATAAAATTAAACTAAAATGATCAATTACAAGATTACCAAAAATACAAACTGAATTATGGAACACACAAACAAGACTGAATTAGTAACAGGAAGACAAACACATCAGTACTCATCTATGCAGAAACTATACACAAACCCAGCAGTTATTTAGGTATTGCTCTCATACTGACTAGAACAAAAACAGGAAAACTGTTTTTACAATTTTTTTAACTAGAGGTTTTCAAAGGCACTTAACAGCCTCATTCCTTTATACAGAGAGATTCTAAAACTCCAGAGGTTCAGTGTTTTAGTCTCTGTGTCTATTGTCACTGTCACTCAGTTCAAAACAAAAAGACGTTAGAAGAGTTAGAAAGTACAGGCTCTTCCAGAAAGTGAGAGCACAACTGAATGCAATCATATTAGCACAAAGCTTTGTGTATGTGGAAGTTTAACTTTCTGCGTTGGCCTATCTTGCCATTTTATTTCAGCATAAAGCTGTTTAATGACTAAGACTGCAGTGTCTGCTGTATCACGACCTGGACAGTGAGTCAGCACCCTGACCTTGCTTCACTCCACACACAAACATAGAGAAAGATTTAGCATATGATGCAGACAAACATTCATATTCCTGACACAAACAAACACCCCTTCTTTCCTCCCTAACCTCTATCTCTCTCTCCCTCTCACTGCAAGCACTAGTATTGCTGCGTCGTGACTGGGGGCGATGTGTTCCTCTTAATATGCACAGACGACTGTCTGAGAATCATACTGGCATGTTGGCGTATATTGACAACGATTTGCCCCTCTTTTTTACTAATACAGATTGTTTTTTTTTTTTGAGTGTCTGACACAGTGAGAGAGCGATAATCCAGTCCATGTAGTAGGAGCAGCATATACTCCTGCTGTGCTGTAGGCTGAGCCTACAATACCCAGAAACCTGCTGTCTGTTATGTACCCATGTCACTTCCTGTTCAAGAGTTTCTGTTACACATTCCTAAAACAGCATCACAGTCAAGAGGATGCTGCTCATTGGCCTAAAAGACTGGAAATCCCCTTGTTCTACCCCTGAAGCACTCCTTCTAAAAGACATTCACATACACTTAGTCGTATCCCTCAGGCAGACACACGACCCCATGAAATTGTGGTTTAGGAGAAAAACAAAATAAAAGTCCTGAAGTGTCTACCATTCAGTGATGCATTCATCACAGAGCTACTCTATAGCACTTTCTTGGCCAATTCTGTCCAGTCTGGCCTTGCTACAAATGCCTTCTTTTGTGTTGTGACTACCACTGAGTGAGCATAAGCTGTGAATGTTTGAGGACAGGGAAGTACTATTTTTTGCCACATGTTCTTCAGCTATTGCAAAATTTTCCCATTTCTCATTCATTTTGCAGTAAACAGGATGTGCTGTCAGTGAACCCCCCCACCACACACACACACACACACACCCTGACTCCACCCCAACTATCCCCTCAACCCCACATCATATGACTCCCAATGACACCACGCTATGAACTTAAAACTTCTGTTTTCAATAACACCGCAGAGAGACAGAACTAACTGGATTTCAGACAAGCAAGAGACACTGGCATAAAAAAAAACAACAAAAAAAACAAAACAGAAAAAGAACACTACACACTAGCCCAGTAGATGTTGTTAAGTGCACACATATATACACTTGTGCATACAAATTTAAGCACATACCCATGCACAGTCCTTTCAGTCACAACTTGAGAGGGGCATATAGTGGCTTAGCAAACACAGCCAGGCAAGCTTATAATATACAAAGACACACACACTCATGTACAGTCTCATACTACATAATCAGACATCCATGTTATCACTCATACACAGACACACACACAATCGCAACACTCACATCCTCCCACCAGCACATGTGGACAGGCACAGCCAGGCCCTCAGTCTAGACAAGAGGCAGAGGAAAAGAAGAAGAGAGGAGGCAGAAGCACAGGGGAGGGGTGTAGAAGAAGAAGAGAGGTACTGGATGTACTTACCCCGTTTCTGGAGCCATCCCTCTCTAACGATGGTGACATCGCTCATGGTTCCTTCACGCCGAGTCTGATGCCGCTGCACGCCTGCTCCACTGAGAGAGAGAGAGGGAGGAGGGGAGGAGAGGAGGAGAGAAAGAGAGGGAGAGGAGGAGGAGAGGAGAGGAGGGGGGCCGGCTCTCCCAGCCTCCGCGTCACTCTCCCTCCCTTCCTTCCTTTCCCGTTCACCCTCTCGTTCGCGCAGCCTCTCTCTTAGACACACACACACAAACACGCGGTGTGTATGTATATTGTACGTGTGTGTCGACTTGCTTCCTGTTGTGGCTTATCTCCTCAGCTCCCTCCCTACTTCTTCTCCTTCTTCTTCTTCTCCCCCTCCTCCTCCACCTCCTCCTCTCTCGTTCCCTCTCCAGACCTTCCTCCTCACCAGCAGTGACTCAGCCTGTAAGGAAGTGAAAGGAGAGAAAAATAATAATACAGAAAAAAGTAGAGATGGGTTTATTTTTCTTCCTCTCTTGCTGGTCCCCTCTTCCTCTCATAAGTCCTTTTCTGACAAGACAAACAACTAGTTATTGGGAGGGCTGCTTCCTCTCCTTCTCTCTCCACCCAATCATACACCCAGTTCCTCTTTTTATCCACGCAACACTCTCTCTGATAAACAAGATGAATTATTACAGAACTGTCAATGAAGCCAAAAAAACAAAAACCTGACACTGACTGCCAAACCAAAATCTCAGAGCTAAAGAACTCATTCATTCACAGATATGTCTGTCCTGGTTAGCAGGTTGTGCACCATACATAAGCCAATCTAGCGCTCTGCCTTCAATGTATTTCTGTATATCAAATAATTTTTTTCAATGTGTGTGTGTGTGGGTATGTGTGGGCTGATTTGAACGTATGTGGGAGGTGAGAGAGCTTCTCAGGACTGTGGAGTAGGGCTTGGTTATAAATAGCAACAACGGCAGTTAGGGATGCTCTCACGCTCCCTTTCTCTCTGCAAATCTCTGCACCTCTCTGTCGTCTCACTCCTGCTCTCCCTCCCCTCTCTTTGTCTCTCTGCATAGCTGCTGCGTTCACCTCAGATGCACCCTACTACACTGTATTACAAAACCCCGCAACGACACTACGCTGCTCAGCTTGAATGAAGATCAGCACCACGGGAGCTAGGCTAGTAGTCAATGCTATCTAGCTGGAAATCAGTATTCAGATCAGCTACTGTCTGCAATGCTGCAGACACTTGTGGGGTCTGCAGCGTCAGAGCGAATGCTGGAATAGACCCACAGATGCGCACACACCCTAGTAGGTGACACAGGGATTTTTCTTTTCTTTCTTTTTTTTAATACATTTTGAAGCAGCAGAGTCGTGACTAGTCAGCGAGCAAATGAACAAATGCAGACTAGTTCATCACATTTAGGTTTGTTGGTAATCAAAGCTCAGAGATTCATTTAATCAACAGGAGGATATCTACTTTCACATTTCAAACATATCATATGTCTCGAATGTCAAAATGATAACTTTTTTTCAACACTTTGGATTTAAGAAATTATAGCACCTGTTTTATGCCGTTATTTTGTTTAATTATTGAAAACAATCAATAATGTACATTTTTGCACCTTTGATAATACCTGAAAATGACCTTGGATTTGAGGATGTTTAATATTTTACCATCCAAATACAATGTAATTAGGTATGTGAGCAACTAATCAATCAACTAATCAACTATACAATTAAACTGGAGTTTCTAGTCAGCATATTCACATTTTATACAGGTACATCACCAGCCAACTGTTGGTTTTAAGATTTTAGGCAGCCACCTACGATGGCTACTGTCCTGCCCTGAAGTTGTAAATATCACATCATGGTTCTGCACTACTTTGATCTAAATCAGTAAGAGGCTGTGCCAGAACAAAATGGCAAAGACCACTCAACCATGTTCTGCAAAGGTGCATGGATGCTAACCTGTAAGAAAGAAGGGTGCTTATGCTAACACAGTAAACATCGGCCACACTTTAGTGTCGAATTGCCACATATTTCAGCAAACTTAGAAATAAGATTTGATTATCTGATTATAAAGAAATACATTTTTGTTTTCAAACAACTTAAATGCACATAAAGTGTGTGTGCTCGCTTATTTTTAGACTAGTTAAATAGTCAATTTTTTCCCCCAGCACATCTAACCTATTAATTTTGTTGGCAAATATATTAACCCTATGGAAACATCTCTTGCTGTAGTTTTAATGTTTGGATTTTATTCATCATACTTTTTTCTAGTTCTTAAATGTCTATTTCTGAAATGTCTAAAAATTAAAATCAATCAAATTCACACCATAAGATAAGGTGCTTGTGTTACAGAAGACAAAAATCAAACATTTAATTTATAATATTACTTATTCAGATGGTTCCTTTTGTGTCCTTTTGTTCAATAGAAAGAGACCTCGTTCTTGAAATCCAGTTGATATTTGTGAAACTGAGGCATAAAGACTATCATAATGGCACTACTTTAGAAGAGAAAAATAAATGACTTTCAGCCCTAGTAATTACATCCAAGGGGATAACATTCTTTTTATAGACACTATACAATTTTGGATTAAGCTTGTTATTCAATAAAGCTTTGGTTAGCTTCAACCTTAATCTGTGGAGCATAGCCTGGACTGAGTTGAGTTGAGGAGAGTTGAAGTGAGGAGAGGAGAGGAATGTCCAGACAGTGGCAACCTCTTGTCACTAGGGTGGCTGTTGCTATGGTGACATGTACTGCCATGATGAACCAACCATGCCAGGGGAAGCACCTGCCAGACAACATTTATTTCATGCCCTTTCATTTCAGAGGCAACAACAAAGACAAAAAAATACAAATAAGGAAAAAAAACTTTAAGAAAAGAGAAAAAGACTCAGTGGAGGCAGACACATAGCGAGTGGCAGCATTCAACGAATATGTGTTACATAACAGCAGAACCCTGTTTTTATTATTTACTTTGTTTTGCAGAAGTGATGTTCTCACTATAATTTTGAGATAGTGTATCCAAGAGCATCAGTTGCCACACCTATAGAAAACAATGTGCGTTCAAAATAATAAACAAACTTACTACTTAGTAAAAAAATTTAATATATAAATTTAAAATATTTTTTCAGTATATGAGCAATCTCAATACGAAGGGAATATTATAGTTTGCAAGCACAAGACACTACATTGGCATGTATACTCCACAATGCAATGTAGTGATATTGATGGACGAGTAAACTGGGATTTAAAGCAAATATACAATTTTTCCATTTTTAATTTGTCTATCCATAATTTAAGTAGTGTTACCATGGAAATGCATTTGTGAAAGAGTGACTTAACTAAGACAAGCTTAGAAGTGCATCCAAAAGGATAAAAACAACTGAGATTCACTCTTAAGTTTGTTGAACCATGATATTGAGTACATAGAGCATAGTATGGGATTTTGAACTCAATGTAACTAGAAGAACTATACTTACAAGGTGTTGTAACTATACAACACCTCTCAGCACATATTTGGGCAATTGATATAAAGCATTATCTGAATTAAGTTTATTGTCAGTTCATTTACGGGGACATATAAATTGCATCTCTATAATCACCAGTAAGTTCCACCCCAGAATAAAGCTTTAAATTGTTTTTTGTCCCCAGAATTATACTTCTTCCAGGGACATTGAGGGTTGCTTGAGAGCTCTGTGTTTCTCTTTTAACAGTCTTTGTTACAACTGAGAACTACAGAATACTTGATGAATTCCCCCATAATTTACTCTGAAATTGTGATGAAAGTGGAATAATTTCAACACTTTCTAAGCTCCATCTGCTTTAACTTTGAACTGGAACACTTTCAGCTTGACGAACACTAATACAAGCAATGCCAGTTCTTACACAAGTTAAGCTATCTACACTGCTCAAATCCCCACTCATGTCTCTTAATATTGCAAAGGTAAGAAACAGACCCAAATCCAAATCCACAGGTCTGCCTCAAACAATTTAATCTTTGTTGTATTTTATTTAAAAAATAAAAATAAAAATAAAAACAGATCACATTTCAGACACCAGCATTTTCCAACCACTGTTCAAGGAAAGAAAGCTAAACATCTTTCTTGTAACATACTAACAAGCATACCTGCAAACAGGTTTTTTCCCCAGGTTCTCTAATATTTCAAGACTCTCCTGGCAAACTTCTGTATTTGGCATGACCCGCAAACTTTCTACTAAAAAAAAAAATCAGCAAGTTTTGTGTTCCTCTTATGTTGCCCAAGTTGCCAGACTGTCTATGAAACACAGTCTTCATACACACAACCACACACTACATAGAACTTCAACCATCTGGCAGCAAAACCTGGCAACACACATCCCAATTCATGGGTCTGTGCAGCTAGTCTCTGCACAGGCAAATTCGTTCATTGCTGAATTACTAGCTGGCATCCGAGCTGTTGTTTCACCACTTATCTCTTCTGATTGTGAAAATACTGTAAAGACTAAGACCAAAATAAATAATTGTGAGTTGAGGTATACATACTACTCTTCAAGTGTGTGTAATAAGGACTGGTTTACTTCAGTATAGTTGGAAAAAAAGTTCACCAATCCATAACTCATAACAAAAACATAAAAACATAAAAATTCATATAAGCTAGCCAAACAGCACTGGTCTCTCTGTTCAGCTGACTGGAAGATGATATCAAATGAGACTGTGTAAGTCAAGCATGTTGAACTGATTCCCAGTCTCTTACCCACAGTAAGGAATATAGTTTATTAATTTAACTCTGGTGTTAATCTGTACTCAATATCAACAGATACCTAAGGTATTAAGACAGAAAAAGTTATATCACTAATTGATATAAATTTAAACAGTAATAAGGAAGAATGTCTGCAAGTAGATTTTTTTGCACTGCTACGATAGAAACTGAAGCCTAAGTGGAAGAGAGTCTACTGTACTCTAAGCAAAGCACCTGTTTGAACTCATCATCTGTATAAAAGACACCTGTCCACAGCCTCAAACAGTCAGACTCCAAACTCCGCCATGGCCAAGACCAAAGAGCTTTCGAAGGACACCAGGAAAAGTATTGTAGACCTGCACCAGACTGGGAAGAGTGAATCTACAATAGGCAAGCAGCTTGGTGTGAAAAAATCAACTGTGGGAGCAATCATCAGAAAATGGAAGACATACAAGACCACTGATAATCTCCCTCGATCTGGGGCTCCACGCAAGATCTCATCCCGTGGGGTCAAAATGATCATGAGAACGGTGAGCAAAGATCCCAGAACCACACGGGGGGACCTGGTGAATGACCTGCAGAGAGCTGGGACCAAAGTAACAAAGGTCACCATCAGTAACACACTACAACGGCAGGGAATCAAATCCCGCAGTGCCAGACGTGTTCCGCTGCTGAAGCCAGTGCATGTCCAGGCCCGTCTGAAGTTTGCCAGAGAGCACATGGATGATACAGCAGAGGATTGGGAGAATGTCATGTGGTCAGATGAAACCAAAGTAGAACTTTTTGGTATAAACTCAACTCGTCGTGTTTGGAGGAAGAAGAATACGGAGTTGCATCCCAAGAACACCATACCTACTGTGAAGCATGGGGGTGGAAACATCATGCTATGGGGCTGTTTTTCTGCCAAGGGGACAGGACGACTGATCCGTGTTAAGGACAGAATGAATGGGGCCATGTATCGTGAGATTTTGAGCCAAAACCTCCTTCCATCAGTGAGAACTTTGAAGATGAAACGAGGCTGGGTCTTCCAACATGACAATGATCCAAAACACACCGCCCGGGCAACAAAGGAGTGGCTCCGTAAGAAGCATTTGAAAGTCCTGGAGTGGCCTAGCCAGTCTCCAGACCTCAACCCCATAGAAAATCTGTGGCGGGAGTTGAAAGTCCGTGTTGCTCGGCGACAGCCCCAAAACATCACTGCTCTCGAGAAGATCTGCATGGAGGAATGGGCCAAAATACCAGCTACTGTGTGTGCAAACCTGGTAAAGACCTATAGTAAACGTTTGACCTCTGTTATTGCCAACAAAGGTTATGTTACAAAGTATTGAGTTGTATTTTTGTTATTGACCAAATACTTATTTTCCACCCTGATTTACGAATAAATTCTTTACAAATCCTACCATGTGGATTCATGGATTTTTTGTTTCACATTCTGTCTCTCACAGTTGAAGTGTACCTCTGGTGCAAATTACTGACCTCTGTCATCATTTTAGGTGGGGGAACTTGCACAATCGGTGGCTGACTAAATACTTTTTTGCCCCACTGTATGTAATCAGCTCTAAAAGGTAGAACATTCCCATCAAACTCAGGTCAGGACAGTACACCTCACCTCAATTCACCTTTCATCACCCTTCCTCACCCACAACACTGGCCTCATGAAAACTCTGGCTGACATCCACAGCAGCAAATCCACAATCTAAATTCCTAAATGAAAGCCAGCCTTTGGCAGGACCTCAAGTGTTACACTCTGCTAACACAGAAAGTGCTTTAGGTGTTGTTGCCCCCCCCTTAGATGGTCTGTTTAATCCGGATCTGATATGAGAAATTCGCTTCTATTTTAATCAATGAAGCTGCCTTCACAGGCTACTTAGGGTTCAAGTCTATTTTCTTCTCTTCATAAGCATTTAATGATGCGAGGGTACATTCGATGGCGAACACTGCCAAAACACAGGTAAGCACACTACACTGATGCTTCTGTATGAAGTGCTGCTTTCATTAGAAGAGACAGAAAATAAAATTAAAAATAAAATGATTAGTCAATTGTTGTACAAGTGCTTAATCTTTTGCATCAAGCAAACATGCTGAGGATGGTTATCAGTTTCTGAAATGTAAGTTCTTCCTTTGTATGAAAAGCCTGAGATGTGGAATGTAATGTAACTGTTATTTATTTGTTATTATTAAATGAAAGTGAATTTAACTAGAAAGTGAACACATGAGATTAAATGTTTGTGTCTAGATCTGTGCTTTATTTTCTATACAAATCCTATCAAGCTGAGTGTTCACAGTGCTAAAAGTCCTAGACCCAATACTGGCCTTGGTACACAAGCGTTTTTTGATTTTTGTTGCGTTCTTTGTTCAAAACAGTTCAGGTTTAGGAACTTGTCAAGGTCACTTCTCTCTTCTTTCACTAACCAACTGAAATCAGAAGGGATGGGACTTAAAATATCAGCTCTGCAAATAACAGCAAAGGAGAAAAACTTGAAAAGCCTTGTGTAGCCTAGCAACAAAAGGTGCTGGACAGATGCATTTGATGCACTAAAACTTTCTCTATATATGTACTTATGACTCTCGTTTACTCCTCACTTCAGCAACTGGTGAGAAAACTTAAAACTGAAACTAGGTTTCTACTTTAGAATCAACAATAAGACTTGTTCAGTTCAATTTAACTCAATTTTATTTTTATAGCACCAAATAATAAAAACAGTCACCTTGAGGCACTTTAAATTGTACGGTAAAAACCCTACAATAATACAAAGAAAACAATCAAATGACCCCCTGTGAGCAAGCAGTTGGCAACACTGGGAAAGAAAAATGCCCTTTTAACAGGAAGAAACCTCCAGCAGAAGCCGGCTCAGGGAGGGGCAGCCATATACCACAACTGGTTATGGGTGATGAGAGGAGAACAGGACAAAAGACATGCAGAGATAATAATAACTAATGATTAAATGCAGAGTGGTATAAAAAGACATAGTGAGTGTTGTTAGTGCATCATGGGAAGCCCCCAGCTGCCTTGGCCTATTTTATCGTAACTAAAGGTGGATTCAGTGTCACCCAGTCCAGCCCCCGCTCTATGCTTTGTTATAATGGAAAGGTTTGAGGGTGGGTGGGCGTTGCAATGTGCAAGACTTGTTGCTTGAAATTTTATGTCATTACTGGATTATGGTATTGGTATGTTATTTATATGCATGCATAACCTAAATGTTCACATATGCTGGATTCTGCCTATTATAGAAATGTATAGACTTAATTTTTCCATTAATGAAATATTATTATTATTTTTTACTACTATTGATACATCCCTCGTTTGAACCTCTGGTCAGATGGTGTCTTTCTGTACTGAGATCACATGTTCGTCCTCCCAAAGTCTAAAGATATGTTTGTTAGGTTAATAGCTGGATCCAAATTGGCTGGAGGTGGGGATGTAAGTTAGATAAAGTGCTTAAGTATATAGAACAAAGTGCTTGTAGTGTAAAGCACTTCAACTGGTCATTGAAGTGCTTTACACTACAAGCACTTTGTTCTATCTACACTACAAGCAAGAGCAGAAAAGTGCTCTATAAATTAATTTTTCCTTTTCATTAGAATTCATGTACTAACCATTTTTCAGACTTTATGTAAAGAAACTATTAAATCAAACAATTAAAAAAATATATACTACATTTAAAAAGTGGGTCAATATTTAATGTTGAGTGTTGCAATACACATACTAAACAGAGGCTATTATGTTCAAAACCAAAGTAATGAATATGCCTCGGTGGTTACCTTATCGGCACTCAGTATCTCTGTGCATTTGATCAGATATGCGTTTTGTTTTGCTCTAAGCTTCTTGAGAGTTTGCATTAAAAAAAACCCATTGCAGGGGAGCCTTTAAGGTTGTAAACTGACATTTTGGTGAAAAGGAAAAGTATATTCCCTATTTACATTAAGGAGAAGTATATGGAAAGAAACAAACCAAAGGATTACATTAAATTGTTTAAATTGAACAATTATAATCAGTTTGGGCCTAATTAATTGACCTAAGTTGTTTAAATTAAGCATTTGTATTAGACATGCGCCAACTGACCGGCCAGGGACCAAATCGGTCAATTGCCAGTCTTCTCAGCTCAAAACCAGTGATCGGATGGTCAGCCTCCCATATGACCTATTGCAAGCTCAGAGCCAGCAGAATCAGTATGAGTAAAGAATCAAAGCACTTTTGAAGAAAATTATAAAAATGAGTAAAAAAGAGAAAAGGGTGAAGTTACAAACATTAGGTAAATAATACAAGTGCCTACCCTTTGTCATGTTACATAAATCTGGGGCACCTACTTTTCTTTCATAGGGTAAGTTAAAGGTGGGTAAAAGCAACTCATTTTCAGTTTATTATCTGTACATCTTTCCAGTAGCAAAGCATTTTTTTTATTTTTTTTATTTTTTAAGAGAGAGAGAGAGAGAGAGAGAGAGAGAGAGAGAGAGAAGATTCTGTAGCCTTATTGCAGTTTGGGGATTTTTGTAATGATCTCTTTGACATGAAGATAATATTTTGTTCTGATACAATTCTTAAAAAGAAAATAAGAATCAATAAAAATTGGTAAGCAGGTTTCCTCTAATTTCTATTCTGCTTGGGCTCCTAAATCGATTATAATCCAAATAATCAGGCTCCAAAAGTAAAAATTTGCAACACATATTGTTTACTAATTCAACCAGCACTATTCCCATTATTATCAACTGGATTATCTACGAGTGTGGCACACCCTCTTAATTACTTGCCGTAACTTGTGTAGGCAAATCGAGCCAGGCCTAGTCTGCCGTTTCTCTGCATACCGCGTACATGCAAATCATCCCGATATACTGCTGCCTCAAACTGCAGTGATGTATCCAGCAGGTAGGATGAATATGATTGATTAAGACACACAGGTACCACCACTGCAATACCTGCGTCACGGTGATTTGAAACAACTGACGCATATCACACGCAGGCAGAAAACTGCACGCACGATAAACGTTTAAAAACACTACTTTTTATCCCCCGCCTCAGTTTTCCCTTGTGAGCGGTCAAACACACCTCGCTAATGTTATCACGAGGCATTATATTACTAGCTTTAGCGTTGCTCGTGCCGTGTTTACTGTCACAACAGTGTGGCTAGCTAACAGTATTACCTGTAGCCGCAGGTGCGGTAGAGGTGGTGGTGTGTGGTATCCCCCTTGCACCTGCTGTTGACAGGACGGCTCGGGTTATTAATTATTTTTTTCCACGCTTCTTAAGTGAGGAACACTAAGCTATCCTGGGACTGCAAGCTAAGTAAGCTAAGAAACCGTCGTCGGTTCACGTTACGAGCCGATGCAGAAATAATCGTTTGCAGACACATCAAACGGATTTCCGCGGAGCTTTCGTTTACCGCAGCCAACGGTTGTTTTGACTCTGGTGAGGAAAACCGGTGACGTCACTCAGGGAAACGGCAACCCCATTTCTGTTATGTCCCCATCCCCCCACCCACATTCTCACACACACGCACGCGCGCGCACTCCCTACCGTCTCGTCTCGTTCGCCCGTTTTCGATTTTAACGGTTTCAGTTCTGTGTCTTGTTTTCCTTCCCTGTGGAGCTCTCTCATCATCTCATCCCAACACCCCGTGCGTCTGTGCCGGCTAATAAGCCAAGTATCGCGAGAATTAAGTGCTTAGGTGGTTTATCTGCGAGATAACTGAATCACAAACTCAAACATATCATCAGAAATAAGATGTGAGACAGACTTTATCGATCCCAGAAGTTTGGTGATTGTTGTGTCACAGTAGTCAAGACATTACACAGCCTATGACAATAGCTTAAATAAAGAAGAACAGTATGACAAGGGCAGAAAAATTGGAGCACAATTTTTAAAATAGAGCAATACCATGATGTTGTCTAAGTAGTTTTTATTTTTATTTAATTTTTTCTCTTTTTTAAAATTCAAGTTAGTATTATTTGGTTTTCTCGGCTGGAAATAACATGAGTTCTTATTCTCTGAAACTTTTAAATTTCATTTTAGTTTTTATTTCTTTTAGTGTTTTTGTTAGTCTCTTAGGTAACACCTTATAATAAGCCTATCATTAAGGGCTCAAGTCCCCTGTAATAAAACTTCATTTCCACTTTTTTATTTGAAATTACAATGTAATTATATTTACCTGCAAATACTTTAAGGTAAGTACACTAGAATAAGGGAGCACCAAGTCAGGTTTTTATGGGAAACAAAGAATTAATTACATTGTAAGTAATTTTAAGTATAGGGCAAGTGAATTTCAGTACAGCATAAGTCATCTTCAGTACACCATAGGTAAGTTTAAGTACAGCGTAATTTTATTGTGTTTTTTTAAACAACATTTCCCCATCTTAAATCTTACATACTGTACTGTACTTCTCGCGCAGGCCATATAATGAAGTGCTTTAATCTTGCTTTCTTACGTGCTTATTTAATATTCATTATGTTAATGTGCATGATGGATGTTCTATTATACAACTGTGCTTTTATCATAATAATCTGTGATAATGTGATATTTAAATGTGATCATGACTATTCTTTTTGTAACTTACACAAAAACAAATACCATTAAAATTTAAAATATCAAACTTCACAATCACCTCACAATAACTGTTCAACTATAACTTTAAGAATAAAGTGTTCTAAATCCCTACTGCATGCCTACTAAAAGGGGAAATGAAAGAACAGGCAATTTGCACATCTACATAATAAATATTTAATAAAGATCTAAAACAAATAAAGATGAGAAAAGATTAAGTCACTTCATAATATGACCTGCACCCCAAAACATACTTATATTAAGTATACATTAGGTATATTAATAATAAACCAGATTTTTTTTGTTTTTCCTCAATATTTACCATGATATTACACACAACTTTACTTATGCTATACTTAAAATTCACAGTATTAATTCTTTATTTCCTGTAAAAATCTGATTTCTTACCAAATTCTTCTAAGTATTTGAATGCAAATATAATTACATTGTAATTTAAAATAAAATACATTGAAATTCCTTTTAATTACAGGGGAATTACGCCCTTAGTTATGGGCTATATTACAAGTTGTTATCGTTCTTCATTAATGTCCTTACAGTATTGAGCAGACACAGATTTTGGTAAATCATTAATTTTTTGAAAACTGTTGACTCACACACTTGCAGTCATCCAAAATCTCAGTAAACATCTCAAAAAACATGTCCATTAAATTAATTTTATTGGGCTTAGCAAAGGTGCAGCCACTCATCATCCGTTCATCAGAGCTGTACTTACTTGAATAACCATAGGGGTGTCAAACATAAGGTGCACCAAAGGATCAAATTTGGCCTACTGGGTCACTTTGCAAAGTGTGAAATCATTTACTTTTTTTTTTTTTTTTTACGTTAGTTTTGAAGCAAAGACTGTTGAACTAAGGTGAGGTTTTTACTTTGTAAGTAAAAGTAGATTTGATTTTATTGATTAGCATTCAAATATCTCAGTGAACAAAGATCTACCACAAAGCAAGAAAGCATGAGACAAGGCTAATCAAAAGGTATTGGCTGAAGTATTTGCTTATTACGCCAACCCTTTTAACAAAAGAACTTTTTGCATGCAGCTCCTGTACACAGGGCTCGAAGCAAATAAAAAAAACAAAGCAAAACCAAACCAACCAACCAGGGAAAAAAAAAAACTTTCCACCTTAGATAAGTAACTACATCAAAGAAAAAGAATCAAGAGGTTTTTTGGGGGTTTTTTTCTTTTTTTCTTTTTTTTTGGTTTTTTTGCTCTTTTCATTCTTAATTTATATATTTTTCTAATACTCTATTTTTAAACATATTTTTAAACAAGGAAAATGAACTACACCTTTTTAAATCACTGTCATAACTATTCCACAGGTTAACTCCTCTAATAGAAACACATCTCTGCTTTATATTTGTCCTTATCTTGTTTTTTTTTAAAGAAATCTGTTCCCCTTAAGTCACATTGACTCTCTCTGACTTTGGACAGATTCTGAGTACTGGGGCAAAGAAAGTTATTTTGTGCTTTATACATTATCTGTGCCATTTTATATTCAACTAAATCATAAAATTTCAGGGTATTCAGATTAATAAACAAAATGTTAGTTGCTTCTATATAGTTTGATTGATTTATAATTCTTATAGCTCTTTTTTGTAACTTGAAAATAGGAAGAGTGCCTTGTTATATATGCATTACCCCATATCTCCAGACAGTAAGTCATATATGGAAGCAACAGAGAACAATACAGTGTGTAGAGTAGAAGTCGTGTGATAACTTTAAGTGATTATTCTTAAATAAAAGTGCATTAACACATGTATTATTATTTTACATTACATCTGCAAGCGCTTTGTGACTAGCAGCCTGCTGCTGCCTGTTTGAAAGGCATAAAATTACATTTTTCCACCAACAAGAGATTTTGAAAGAACTATTAGCTGAAAACCTGGCATATTTTGACATGGTGTGTAGTGTCTCCTTAAAAAACTAAGCAAACTAAACAAGTGGAAGACACAAAAAGAAGTGGCGGGCCTGAAAAACAACCTACAGCAGATGAAGAGTATGTGAAAGTCATGTCCTTAAGAGAAAAAAAATCCAGCAAGAACCTGAGAGATACATCTGTCCCTCCAGCTAATCCAAGAACTAATTCTTAAGGAAGGGGAACAGGGAGAAAATGCTGAGGTATTCCAAATTACACAGTGATTGGATGAAAATCAGTGGAAACAGGTCTCTCTGTTTTGTATCCCTTGTCCCTTGCGAAACTGGACACATCTCACAAGAAACTTGTGGCTCAAAAGGCCTGATCTGTGAATGGATCCTTGGCGAAACCCAAAGATGATTACCAAACAGAAAGGCAACTGAAATAACAGTTACAAATTTCAACAGGTATTGCAACAGAAAAAGGGAATTCACTAATGTACAAATGTTATCAGTTAGACCAGAAAAACAACATCTAACCTCCATTTAGGTGCATAAGAAGGTATGAATTAAAGTTAAAAAAACAAACAAAAAAAAACACCCAACATTATATTTATTCATCACAAGACTGATACAAACCAGTTTATTTATCTTTTGCTGAAGTATATCACAGTTTCATATTGACTCTCACATATTAACCCACACAAAACTAACCATCCATCCATCTTCATCCACTTTATCCGAGGCTGGGTCGCGGGGGCAGCAGCCTAAGCTAACCCTACAGCCCAAATGTCACCCTAATGTTACAATTTAATGTCATATTACAAAAAAAAAAAAACATTAGATGTTATTACCACTGACTGAAAATGTACTTTTGTCAGTTGTATTTATACTTATGATCATTAACACCATGTACCAAAAATACCTTCCTGGCTGTTCTTTATTTTTCAATTAATTTCAGCTACATCCAAAAATATGACTCATATTAATAATAATGCCCCGTTCTGTAACTGCTGTCTGTGTGAATAAGCAACCAATTACTAACAATACTGCCAAAATGTTAGCTTCACCAAATGTCCACAAATGATCCATCCACTTTCTTTACCTTATCCAGTTCAGGGTCACATTTGGACTGGAGTCTATCCCAGCTGTTACAGGGTGACCCATTCTAAAATCAGTGGAGCTAAGTGTTACTGATATGGAAACCATTACTGATTTATTATTTACAGTTATGATCTTACTGTATTTGGAGAAGAGATTTTCCTACACCTGCATGTGTTCTCTCCTCCCACTCCTCCCACACTTCAAGGACATGCATGTCTGGTTTATTTGTGGGTAAGTAAAACATTGTTTATATAGCACCTTTCCAGACAAAGATAACAGTGTTTCACAAAAAAATTCCAGAGTATTAAAAAATGAGAAAAAAGGGAGTTAACCAAAAGCAAGTCTGAAAAGATAAGTTTTTAGTTGCTTCTTGAAAGAGACCACTGAGTTTTCAGACTGGTGTGGTGCACAACAAATACGCCATGATCACAAGATCCTCAGGCACCCGTTGGAGACATTTGCCGATGTAAGCTGGTGCTTGTCCATGAAGAGGTCTAAAAGTCAGAACACAGAAACCCAAAATTTGCTTAGAAAAATGAACAATGAATCACATCAATGCTGTGATCAATGTGACCCTAAATAGGTCGTAAGTGTGAATATATGCGTGACTAGTTGTTTATCTCTATTAGACCTGCAATAAACTTGCAACATGGCCCCCAAGGTGGATGGATGGATAAATAATATTCCTACTGTTGCTTGAAGAAAGCCTACAACATCTTTAAATCTTGAAAAGTTAGAAAACCCTTGATCTGTTGTTATAAAAAGAGAGATACCAGTTTAAGACACTGGGCTGTTGTATGCAAACAGATAAATCTTGGAAACCACTGTTAGAGTTTGTATGGTTGATTGTCATTTATGCTTAGAAATATTTACTTATATATGCTTAGAGTTTTGTAATTAGTTGTAGATTGGTAGAGGTTTTGATCCTTGATAGTCTGCAAACTTTGTGTGTATTAGACAGCACTTTGGGAGCATGA